GTAATTCGGTAGTGTTGCGCCACCGGATGCCTATGCATACGACCAAGTATGTATGTATATGCGGCTTATATCCCAGGAAGTGAGATCTCTTGATTTTCGCGTTGTCTACAGCCTGAGATCAGCAGCAACTTAGTCCTTACAATTTGAATGGCCTCCTCAATTCATTTGGTAGCGGCGTAGCGCTGTTCCTCTGAAACCTTTTTTTCCATGTCGTCTTCTTTTTTCCTTTTTTTCTAATTTATTCGACGTCAGTCCGAAAATGCCCACTTGGGTATTTGTCGGGTTTGCTATTAAAAATGTATTTCTCACATCAAAGAAAGAAGTTCCAAATGGATGTTCCAGAGGGTTCCCCTTCCTGCTCACTCGAATTGGCTCATCCACATTTATTCTCGTCAAGTCCAGAAACTGGCTGGTACTATACATGATTGTTAGCCTTCTATTTTTTCTCGTCAATATTGATAAGGTCACGACACGAACGACAACGAACCATCGAAATGAAGGGGAGATTGTTCATGACCAGGTGAGCGCCTACAAAACGTCCTTTTCCAGCAAAAATTTATTACTTTACTTGATCTTTCGAGTAGTAATCTCTATATTCCCTTTTTATGAAAAGTCTACCTGAGTTTTATGAACATGTCTACCTGTTGATTCTCTTGCACTCTTTTCGATTCCTCGGGCTCCTTACTGAAGTACATCTCCATTCTCAATGAATGTCCTTTACGATATAGCAATAGAATTTCTCTCATTTTGTAAGGGCAAGACCCTCTTAAACTTACAAGTAACCTGTTGTTGAGACCTCACATTAGTTAGCCTCGTCGTCACTGATCCATGTCACGCGAGCAAACAGAACATCATTCCCGTGTGCGCGTTTGTTTGAGAGGGGGCGAAAACAGCTACTTGAGGCTCATCAACTCCGAGATTTAATTATCGTTTGAAACACTGGTTTTATTGTTGTGCCGTAACGATGAGAATTAATTTTGAGAGCGAAGTTGAGCTTCCACTAGTGAGCGAATTAATTAGGTAACTGATCGTACAAGGGTCTGCATGGAGGAATATTTTCTTTGATAAGACCTCTTTCCACCTCCATTATTGTTTTCTTGTACGTCTATCCAGCCACCCTCTAACTGCTTCGGCCAGGGAGGGATGGGGATCTTAGCCCATGATCCTTGCAAATCGTGAGAACGGGTCGGATTTGGCCTCTGGGGGAGAGAAAGAGTCTCGTTTTGACGGGTTCTAATAGGCCTCGGGATGAGAGGGTCATCTTTCACTGAAGAGTATTGTTCTACAATAGTTACGCTTCCTGTTATCACAAGAATGCTGAGTTGTGGGCAAAAGTCGTGCCCCAGGCGGGAGTCGAACCCGCACCTCACGCTTTCCGGGCGAGTGCGCTATCCGTTACGCCACCAGTTATCATAACAGTTATCATAACAAAACAGCTTCCTGTTCCGTTTCCCACATTCTGTGTGCCAAAGCCACCCCTTCTTCGGTGGCCAAATTTCGGGAAGTTTTTAAAAATTAGGGTAATCTGGTGAGAGGGTCGAAAGATCGTGGAAGATGTGTATCAAAAGGGAAAACTTCTTGAAGGGCTTACTGTTTCCCACAACGCTTTGATGTGCACTGGGGGTGGGGGAGCCACTAGGTTACTATAGAAGAAAGTAAGTTCGGTGGGAATAGAGCGCGGCCAAACGGCAAAAATCTTTTGAGCTAAAAAAATTCACGAGGTCAAATACGCCGCCCTACCCTTATTCGCTCTGAAGAAGTGCATGCCGCGCGTGCTATCAGAACTTTCAGGGTGATGTGGTGCAAGTAAATACACTCATGAATTCAACACAGGGTCACGTTGTAAATGACTCACTCCGATATTCCTCCAGAGTTTTTGAAGGATTTGACAAACAGTGTCAAAATCAATATGATTCTATTGTCAAACATTGACGTTGCTGAGCACGTCTCCTCGAAGGAAGGAAGAATCTTCCCAGGCGAATTTCTCACCTTAATCTCAAGAGTTTGCTCCACTCAGCGGTGAAGTTTGCACTTCTGATAAGATGGTTCCACTTCTACCAACTGAATACGTGATCGGGGTGATGCTGACTCCGAGTGAAGTGCAAAGGAAGTCATGAGTTTCAGGTCCAAAATGAAAAGGGCCAAGATAGCACTATTCCTGGCGTTCTTTGAAGCTTTCTTCCAGGCCACTCAAGGCCAAGAGCAGTTCTATTGCGTGCATTCTGGTATCCTTGAACATCACCTGCCTTGTTACTAGTTATCAGAACGACATATATCACAGCTGAGTTACCCTACCGTGGTTAAGCTACCATCGTTGCATTTCCTCGATATTGAGGAGTTATCTGCGATGGCTGCGTTTCCCTGATGGTGAGGGGTTCGTTGCGGTGAATTGTAAAAGGGGTCATGCAAAATATTCCTTGCGGGGTTGTACTGTCACCGCCGGGGGAGCGGAGGATTTCTAGAAGAAAAATTATTGGTAATGTGGTAGAAAGTACGGAGAGTATAAGAGGATCGTAGGTGGTATGGAGAGGAGAGGTGGGCGCTGTTTGTCGACGGGGGGGGTATTTTGTACTACCATTGCTTCCCTAGTTCCGGTTTACAAATCTCACTCTGGTGAAACTTGTGAACTCTTGTGAAGCTGGAGCAAGATCGTCAAGCCATCATGGTAAAACCTGTCAACTCGAGAAGAGGCTGTCTAGATGGGTTGGCACATCTATGGAAAGCAGGACAGGATGTTCCCCCCCCCCCCCCCGTCGACCAAACTGCGCCGGAGAGGCGTACCAGAGAAGGAAATTTGGAGGGGGGATCGTACTTTGCAAAAATCTTCCCAACGTCAGGACGTGCCTTATCTATTACTGACATACGTATACCACTGTGACAAGAGGGAATATTCTTTAGCTGTTGGATTGTGAACAGTTTCTGTCTGCTCCTGGTGAAAGTGGCCCTCGTCCTCTTTTTTGCTCTCCATGAACTTCCAACAGATCTCTGAAAAAGTGCTCTAGCACTGATAATGTGAAACTTTTTTCAATGTGGCGTCATTTCCCGACCGGTTTCCCCGTTCTCAACGAGCAAATTAGTCATGCATTCGAACAAGTTTATGCGTTGTTTTTCATACTATTTTGAGTACATGGTTGAATTGCTCTACAAAGTTACCAACTGCATGTTCTTGGTGGAATTATACAGGCAAAATAAAGCTTAATTCTTGTGGTCGCGATAGTATCTACATTTGGATTCCTTCACTTGGAAAGATTGTGATGTCCGCGCACAACTACAGCACCTGAGAAGACACTTCAGACTGGGATTTTCGGATATCCCACAATCAGCGCTGGTCACTGGCTGCTTGCTGACTCATATGGATGAAAGGAGCAAAGAACAAGCTTACATTTTTACCGGTTACTACCGATAAGAGAGCAGAGAATACATTTAAACTCATAAGCCACGATAAATTATTACTTGCTCCAGTGTGGTAGCAGGGATGCTATTCGCTGATATTGTGAAAAAATGACGAAAAAACCAACTTAAACTGCAAATAACTTCGGAAAAGCCCCTGTCTGTACGGCATTGGACGAGCATTTTTGAACGAGTTTCCCGTTGGCATCATGCCAACAACCGCTTTGATACAGCTGCACTTATGTACTCATACATTCATGCAGCAGGGTTTTATATTAATTGCTTCCTGAATGAAGCGTTAGGAGTGCCAGCGTTGATGTGTCGGACCGTTTGTGGGCGGGCGGTTGCAGTAGGCGTTCGGGTCGGCCATGTTGCATCTTGCTTAGGCTCTATAATGGCGCCCTTGGTTGGAAAAGGCGTTACGCAGCCCCTGCTAAGGATGCTATATTCTTCCGTGCTAGGCGTGTCGATCCTGTACTTCTTGGGGATTTATCGTGCCGCTTGCTTTGAAGATATTCCCTTTATCGTTTCTGTGTTGACCCACATGGTTAAAGGCAGCGCCCACGTTCACTTGATGTTCCTACGCCCTTTCTGGATATCATAGCCCTCCCCATAAGGATGCAGTATGTACTAGTTTTGCATCTCACAAAGGCGAGAGGATAGCGCCTATCGCTAGTAAAGAGTCGACCGCCCCGCCCACCTGGCGACCACGACGCCCAACTTCAATACTAAGAGCGCGCACTTCGCGATCGCGCGATTGGATCGCGCGATCGCTGTGATCGCGCGATCGCGCTACTGTGGGTGAAATTACACCGGGAGGGGTCATGTTCGTTCATGTTTATTGTTCCTGTTCTTTTTTTCCTTTTCCTTCTTTCT